CCCCCCCACCTACAGGCGCGCTTGCGTCTAATATTAGCACAGACAGTTGTTTGGGTTTCTCTCCCGGGTCAAGCTTTTAAATATAATCAAACCTGTTTCCGAAGGGGGCTTCAGACAGAGCGGCAAGGTGTTACGTTTCACTGAATGGAGCTCACACACTTACGCACGCTCGTACACGTGCATGCACACACATAGCGGAGCAAAGTTTGGACTTTTCACAAAGTCCTTGTGCGACCTCTTCAGCAGGAGTCTGGTCACAGTGGAAGAGGAGCGACTCTTTTTTTTTTTTTTTTTCTTCCCCCAAGCAGACACCGACGAGGGGTGACGATCTGGCGGCCAGACAACCACCGTGTCACCGCCTGCTCCACCTCTTCCCCCTCGGTGATCCCTTCTTCCTCAATACATCCTGCCGTCGCACACGCATTAGCGCCACAAACGGGTTGTCAAAAATAGTACATTCATTCATATTGCGTCATTCATTACACAAAAAAAATGGTGCTGTGCATGACTTCATGAGGCTTTTCTTGCGGACAAGATCTAGTCAGTTCAAGTCAGCCTGGGGTCCCCAAATATGGCCCCCGCCAAGGGCCACACGAGTAGCCATCGGGCCTGTTCTAAAAATAGCAAATCAGTGAGGGGACATTGTAATTTCCTAGGAATGGGGACGGTGATTTGAAAAAGAGATTTAAGAAACAAACTTTTGCTTAGAATATCTATCTATGCTTGCTTACCTCGTGAAATCATATTTGCGTGATCAGTGTCAAGGGGTTAATTATCAAGAATAACATATTTCACAAACATAAAGGCACTACATAGTACACATGTGGTTCTTTAGCACCCACTCTTAGTGGTTCTAGGTATAACAAACCATTATCCAAATAGCACTAAACGGTTTTTAGATATAATCTAACAAATATATTACCTAAAGAACTCCATAGTCATATAAAATCATAAAATGATTACCTTTGTGAAGGATCAGCAATGAACCCCCAAAGAACCTCAATTCTGGACAATGTTGCGAAACAGAACCATTGAACTGCAATACATAGAACCCCTGATGAACCTTTATAATTGTTGAGGGTTATTTCAGTATTTTTTTAAATTTATTTTGTTATTTCAGAAGTGTGTATCAAAATGGTCAGTACCCAAGAAGCAGCTCTGGTGACGCTGGATTTAAGAAATATGACAATGATGAATATTGTATAAGACAATGATATCATACTTAAAGGATTTATTGGGATGCAAATATATATTAAATGCACCTCAGAACCATAAAATTAAGACCAAAACTGGAATTCATTCTCAACCCAAATCCACGATTATTCCATAATTCAATAAACCATAAAAATCAGTGATTAGAATTCATGTGACCTTCCTATGATGCATTATTCTTCATCAACATACTGTAAAATAAACCTCAGATGGATACAAATATTCATCTGATTTGTAAATCTGCACAGTTGTCTCTCTGAATGCTAAATGCAGGGCAACCGTATCAATATCGGTGCCATGTTTGACTTTTTCAAGTGTACATGGCATAGTCATTCCTCTGAGTCAGGGGTCCCCAACCGCCGGTCCGCGGACCGGTACCGGTCCGCAGGGCATTTGGTACCGGGCCGCACAGAAAGAACTTGCCTTAATTCCGTTTTATTTATTTCGGACAAATGACGGCGGCCTTAAAAGTACGTTCGAGACAACTGGATTAAAGTTATGGCTGAATATTCTGAGATCGCCACAGTAGCACTGTTGCTATTTCCGACATGCTACCTGTGTGAGGCGGGGGTTTTCTGCAGCAACAGCGACTAAAACAAAATTACGAAGTAGACTGGACATAAACCACCCACTTGAGGTGTCATTGTCTCCTATTACCCCGAGATGGGACTGTCTGCTTGCAGAAAATCAAGCTCGGGGCTGTGGTGAGTCGTCATTTTCATGCACTTTGAATTTGCGTTGTATCGTATTTTGAAGGCATTAAACATTACCATAGCGATCAGAGAGAGTGTTGCCGCCAGATTAGATGCTCCTTGTGTTTATTATGATATTTCGAAAACACCACAGTTTCCATGCAGCTCATACCATATTATTTTGTTGTATTATTTCCGCCACACCTTAAATGCCGGTCCCTGAAAATATTGTCTGACATAAACCGGTCCGTGGGGCAAAAAAGGTTGGGGACCCCTGCTCTGAGTGTTCCGGTGATCCAAGCAGGCGTGTGTGTGTGTGTGTGTGTGTGTGTGTGTGTGTGTGTGTGTGTGTGTGTGTGTGTGTGTGTGTGTGTGTGCGTGCGTGCGTGCGTGCGTGTGTGTGATGCTCATCATCCATGTGAGCAACATTTGGCCTCCAGATGAGAAAAGCTGCAACAAGGGTTATTTGGAAGGAAACTACAAGATAATTAATGCTCGTTTTTGATTGCCACGACAGGCATTCATTTAGCCACATGCTTATTAACCGCGGGTGTAGTTTGCAGCACTATTATACCCAGATTGTAAAGTAAAATTCTGAACAGCTCTCAGGATGATAAGAGTGTCGTTTAACAACCACATTAGCTAACTTGTAAATGCACGACCCCCCCCCCCCCGACTGTGCCAATCAAATGCGGACAATTATGAGCAGGACTTTGTTGATGCCAAGTGGGGGACATTTATTCACTTATCTGGCGCTTGCTTGTACAACAACAAAAAAAAAGAAATACTGTGTGACTTGCCGGCGACCATTAATAAGATTCATGGCGCACTCGAGATTAAATCCAAATTAAACCGTCTGGAAAACATTCAAAGGCATCTCACACCACAAAGTAAAAACACCCGACACTAAAAAAAATCAAGACAAAGTGCAATCAAAGGTCAACTAATGACGTGAATTATTTCAGATTTACATTTGGAATTGTACTATCGTGACTGTACCTGTCATGAGTCTTCCTCTCTCTCTCTTTTGATTTTGTAATCATCTACGTCCACATTTACAGAACTGTAGTGTAGAAACGGATTCCTTAAAATATCCACAATACAACAAAATTGTCCATCGAACCATAGATTAAAAACACACATTCGAAGAGCATTTGAAGCCCAATCTTCTGTATCCCAAAACGTCGACAGTCAAAATTGAATCATTGGGCAAAAGCAACCCGTACTGTACACTTTATTACAAACCAATGAAGGTTATTTGCGACTTTCATTTATCTTTAATAAGGTAATTCAATATAATCACAAAAAAAGTCATAAACTGATCCACGGAGTAATGCTGAAGAAAGTCAATCAGTAATTTAGATCTTGCTGCCCTCTTGTGGTAAAAGTGTGCCAGTGCAAATATGCTGCTCTCTTGTGAGAAACCAGTTTTAGTTTGCGACAAACGTTCGGTTCAAATCATTTTGACTTGGTCATTTTCTCATTTGATAGTGTTGGAAGTATTGCACCGTCGCTTAGTGCCTATTAAACAACATCCGGTTTTGAAGCCCACCAAATAAACACATAAATACAAAAAATATTACTCACAGACGCAACCTTTGAAACCATTCAAATATAAAACCTTAACCATCATTTCATTTTACAGTATATATACACACGATAAAAATACAAAAATACATACAACTGTTGAAAGAAACACGCACATTTTGCGTTTTGTTCTATTTTGCTTTTTCATTACTGATTCTGGGCGGCACGGTTGTAGACTGGTTAGCACGTCTGTCTCACAGTGTAAAAGGTGCAGGGTTCGATTCCAGGCCCTTTCCTATGTGGAGTTAGCATGTTCTCCCCGTGCCTGTGTGGGTTTTCTCTGGTTTCCTCCCACCTTCCCAAAACATGTATGCTAGGTTAATTGGACACTCCGAATTGTCCTTGGGAAGGAGGCAATTTCCTCCATTCAAACTTACATTCACCCCTCTGGAAAATGTCATATTTTCAATAAATCTCACATGCATTCTTTTGGCGTGTGGGACAACCTGAAAACCGGGGCAGAGAATCAAAACTAACCCTCAGGACTGGGAGGCGGATGTGCTAAACAGTAATCCACCATGCTACGCCACCACAATTCAAGTATTCCGAAAGCAAGAAAAAGCCCTGAGGATCTATTACCCATGCCAGTAGTTTAAGCACCCAGAGCACCACTTACTGTGTGCTCAAATGAGCCTAAGTAGAAAAAAAAAGAGCTCGACTACAGTATCCATGTTGATGGTGATGTACAATACGGAATGACCTCATTGCGTTTTTTTTTTTCCCCCCCAGATAAAATTACGTTTGTTCAAAGGTTCAAGAAGTCTCTGAACAAATCCAACTAACTGTGCAAAAGGACCAAACAGGAACAGGGAGAGGGAGAGGGAGAGGGAGAGAGCTTCGGTTGGTCAGTGCGCTTGAGAAGTACCAGTGAGCACGCTGGATGACTAGCCAGTGGAGTAGGAAGGTGCAACTTGACGTGGTGGTATCTCACAACACGCCATCCTCGTAGGCGTGGCTCTGCGCATCGGCATCTTTTTGCAGCTTCTGGTATTTCCTTTTGAAAAATCCAAACTAGTGGGGGGAAAAAATGTACACGTTGAATTCAGAGAGTTGAAGGAGCCACGTCAAAATTTGAGAATGGCCCTCAGCGTCCAGGTGGAAAAAACTTGTCGATATGTCACAATCGGTGTGATGTGGTCGCTGCAAATGTTTGCATGGGGAATCTAGTGACTAATTATTCAACCTGACTGAGTCACTGACTGACTGCCTGGCTAACTGACTAAATTACAAACTAACTAACCAACTAACCATGTAACTATGCAATTAACCAAATACAAAACTGACCAACCAAACAAGTCGTCACCCAGACAAACGGCAAGCTTGGAGACAAACTAAACAATCTCACTAATTAACTGATGGGCTAACTAACTGACCAATCAATCTACTAACTGTTTCTATCTAACAAACTGAATGAGAGAGTGACTGACGACTGGCTGATTGACTAAGTAATGTACTGGCTGTTTAATGAACAAATTGCCTAACTCACAGGTGTCAAACTCAAGGCCCGGGGGCCAGATCTGGCCCGCCACATCATTTTATGTGGCCCGCAAAAGCAGCTCAAACATGTCAACTTCCATGATCCTTTCTAAAATGTCTGCCAAATTTTTAAATTCTCCTATGTAATGAATAAAAGATATATTCTAAGGATTTCTTGTTACCAAACGCCTCACGATACTAAGTTAAACAATAGTTGCATCAACAGTTATTCTTGACTTCTTTATATGGTTTCAGTCATAACGGCCCTCCAAGTGAAACGGGAACTAAAATGTCGCCCGCGCCATAAATGAGTTTGACACCCCTGGTGCCCTAACTGATCAACCAACCGACCAACCAACCACCTAACTACCTAACAAGCAAACAAACAGACCAACTACCTAACTTCCTAATCACCTAACTACTCAACCAACCAACTAACCAAACAATGCGAGTGGCAAAATTGCTATGTGAGCTATGTAACTAGCCCGAGATTTGATGAAATATAGAGATGAGCTGACCTTCCACAGGAGAGCAACAGCCAGGCCCAATAGCACCAGTCCACCGATCACGCTGCCAACAATCACTCCCACCGGAACGTCGCCCGTCGCTCCTGGTTTACTCACTGTGACCACCACCTGAAAACAAATCCAGTCAAAAAGTCTTCTCGGACATGATGTCGCTCTTGAATTCATGAACATTATGCAACGTGACTTTACCGGCAGCTCTTTGAAGCGGAGAATGAATAAATCGGGGTTGGAGCTCTCGATTTCCACAGTGGAGGTCAGCTCGGTGGTTTGATAGGCCGCCTGACAAAAGGCACATACAGGGGAGCTTTAAAATGACCGCCCGTGACGTAACGTGGTACAACATGAGGTCATTATCGCGAATACCGTAATAAATGTCCCGCTCCAAATCCTTGTTTTAACTTTCACATAGTAGTCGCTGGTGACATCAGCGTCTTTGAGGAGGCATTTGATCCGCTCGCACTTTGCACTCTCGCAATCCTGGAATTGAAACAGGCCAATACTAAGCGACTGCAGACTAACGGCATTCCAAGAATTAAATTCTGAAGTTCTGTGCGGTGACCAACCAGCTTCTCAATGCCTCGGAGACTCTCCTCAGTGAAGGAGGCTTGGTGGTCCTTGACGCCGATTCTCAGTGGGTCCACCAGGCCTTTGGTATCACAGCTGACAGAACCGCCCTGCGCATGGAAAACAATTAGCCACATGTTACCAATGTGTGATACATTTGTTTTGGATATCAAATAACGCCACGAAGGACGAAGTGACCAGAGGTGGGGTTTTCCTTAAGAGACCTTTTGGATACATTGTACGTGTCGGAATAGTTTTGAATGCAACATACTTTTGATCTTCATCGGAGATCATGTAAGAAGTCAAAATAGATTGATTTGATGACTCACAACTTGCGTGTCCACACCGGTAAGGTAGAGGAGGGGGTTTCCTCCCTTGGTGCTGATTGGCAGGGAGATGGTCAGATAGAGGAGGCTGACTGGGAAGTTTCCTGTTGAAACCTTTTGAAATGAAACAAGTTCAAGTCGTGTGAGGCCGGGAAGGAGTCATGTTCGGGATGCGCGAATGGACAAGAAATATTGTAGTCGTGTTTATTGTACCTTCACAGTGAAGTTAAACTCGGGTCCGATGTCATCCAAAGTTTTCACTGTTGTTTCCGGTGCAGTGGTTGAATTTGCTACATAGAAGTTGATGTTTGACTTCCTGCAAGGAATAAAACAGGAAGTGCCTTTTGTAAATGTCAAATGGACTTGCTGGACATTAAGACATGGAATTACATCATATGCTATACAGTATGATTCAAGTCATTTCCAAAGTGGCCATCTGTCTGACTTCCTGATCCTGACCAAGAGTACCTACCTTGTTATTCAAACAACCGATTGGACTTGACTGGTATTGGTCAATTATTTTACGGCCTAATGATCGCGAATTCTGAAGCTTGCAGATTTCTATTAATTAAAATAATAATAATAATAATAATAAATCACCTGGATAAAACAATTCCTGCATCGTATTGAAGAGGAATGGACACATCCACTTGGTTGTCTGCGGGAACCTGCTCTTTACTGTCACTGCAAAGCAGCAAAGAACACAACATAGAAACATTGATCCATAGCCAAATAAAAACCGAGCCATATTTTTGCTCGGCATTATCGCCGGATGTTCACCTTTTAGCCTCAAACTTGACCTTTGCCCGATTCAGCGGATGGTTGAGGTTGTAATCGAAATTGATCTGAAATTTCATCTAGGCAGAAATGACACCAATTTGAGCAAACAAGAGCACGTGAAAGAGAAAAGAAATTTAAAAAAAAAAAGTTTTCTGGCACTCACCATTTGGTCTTTTTTCAAAGCCGGGTATCCCACTTGACAAGCGACAGTTTGCTCTTGTGTTGAGGTGCATTTGACTCCTTCTGTCTGTAAAAAATTCAGTCCGTAGGATAATTGCACTGCCACATTTCTCAACTGATTATTATTATTATTATTATTATCATTATTATTATAATGAAAAATGCAGACAAAAAGATACTACTTACAGGAGGAAATACAGAGGAGTAGAAGAGGTTGCCCGAATATGTGACCAACACTTGCGTGTTGTAAGCATTTTCTTTTTTGTTCTTCACCGTGACCTCGAATGACAGTTCCCGCTTATTGGGGCTGACCAGAAAAGGGGCTGAGCTGTAGAACAAGCCATAAACTGGTCAAAATTAGAACCGACAAACTATTTCGGGCCTTGATTGAGTTTTTAAGCAATGTTATACACCCACAAAAATACCAACATAAAAAAAAAAACAAAACAAAACAATAATAATAATAATAATAGTATTTTAAAAAGGTGACTGTGTTTTTCAGCTCACAAAAATGTGGATGCTTTGACTATAAATACCAACTAAACATAACATGAAATAGACAAAGCCTTGGCAGGTTGTGGCTTCAGGGGTTAAGTATTAAGCATCAGTCAGAGTTAAACATTGACACAAAACATTCTCAGACATTTACTCCTTGTGAGTTTAACCCTTTTCAGGGACAGCGGCGACTACAGTGGACAGCTTATCGGGTTATCAGGTGACAGGGCGATCATTATTTGTGCGTGAAAGGGTTAAAACCGAGACAGGTCATTGGGATTGTGAAGCTGATCTGAGAAGACAAACGCACACCATACTATACAATAAGTCACTCTCACCTTGACCCCTTTGTGTCCGTCGTCACACTCAGCACCAGGTCACTGACGCACACCTCATCTGAGCCGCAGTCTTTCGTGAAGGGGATCTGAAACACGGCAAAACGCAGCCACGCATCGTCTACTTTGTCACTCAAATATTATCTCTCTCTCATTCATACACCGCTTCCCAACCTTTATTGAGCCAAGGCACCAAAAAATATATGTAATAATAATAATAATAATAATAATAATCTCACTGTACACCATCAGATTACATTTTATAAACTGAAATAAGAATGGTCTGATTATAATTTATTCACAATTTAATCTGCGGGGAAATCTGGGCCTCTTTTAAGTGAGCACAAAACCAATCGAATTTGAGGTTTTCAAAGCTCATAGCTAGCGTGAAACATTAATTTCCTGCATTGCAAAACTGAACTTGTTGCAAAAAGTGGGCACTTATGTGACTCACGCAGGCGCTTGAAGACAGTAATAATCAGGTTATGTCATCTTAAACAAGTGTCTGCAAAATAGCTATTAACTCTGGAGCCTCAAAGCAAAAACAAAAAATAAAATAATAATAAAAATAAAAATGGAAGGCAACTTACGAAGAACTCCCAGGCGGTTAGAGAGAAGACGTCAAGAACCGGGTTAGCGTCGGCGTTCTGCTGTTCGATTTCCACTTTCAAACTGACTGAATTGACAAAATCGGGCGTCTCCTGATGGCAAAACAAACGTACCCGGTCATCATTTCCAAACAGCAACACAAAAGCACAGAGACAATTGAAGTGGCAGTCAGTCCACCACATATCTCTGGTTGGAAATGTTACACATCGAATTATTTATTCCTTTGCACAAGTCTCGGGCCACCATTACATTTGCTGCCATTGAGTACAGGTGTGGGTTTAGTTCCCATTTGGTGATGGAAATTTTCATGAGTGTATTTGGATGTCTGTTTCGATATGTGCCCCCTGTGTCATCTGCCCTTAGCCCATAGTCAGCTTTGGAACAGGCTCCGGCTCCCTGCGACTTTCAAAAGCATGAGCAGTACTAGACACTCGATGAATGAATCAGCCACTACCTGTACGTAGACTTGGAAGTCTTGACACTGCATTTTAGATGAGATCTTGGCATTCTCCGAAAGCAAACGCTCATTATTTTTCATGAAAAGTCCTCTCGAGGTGACACGAGAAGCCTGCAAATCGGCATCGAGTGTCAATGTGTAGGTGACGTCTAGAAAAGGAGAACACACCTTAGTTTCAGTCTTTCATGTTTAGTTGGAGAGTGAAGAGTGTGATCAATGTAACTGCAAAGTTACATTGGATTTACCAATGGGTCCGACTGGATTTTTGGGCCTGAAGGTCGGGCTGAAACAGAGGCTGGTGGTGAAACACGACATCTTGCGTCCACCGACGTCGCAAGATTTGCTTAAAATGTTGATCTTCTCGGGTTTAAAGGAAGCAGTGGCTGAGAGTGTGGCCACACCTCGGGACCTGCGGGATAATCAATAAAGCATCGGCTCCATCCATTCATCTATTTTCTGCACAGAGTGATCTGGCTAGCTGACTTTCCAGCCTGGACTGGTCACCATTCAATTGCGAAACATCGAGAAAGAAGTATTCAGACTCGCATTCACACAAATGGACAATTTCAAGTCTTTAATTAATGTGCCTAACGTTTGAAACGTGTGAGGAGAACTTGAAAATGTTCGTTTAAATCACTGGTCACCATTCAATTGCGAAACATCGAGAAAGAAATATTCAGACTCCCATTCACACAAATGGACAATTTCAAGTCTTGAATTAATGTGTAAGGAGAACTTGAAAATGTTTGTTTAAATCGGTTTAGACAAGTTCTTAATTTTGTCTCACCAGAGCTGGACCACTTTTCCATACGCCCCCACTGAGATATCAGTGAGAGTGTCATCATTCAAGTCCTTGTAGCTATCCAGGGACCTCCCAAAAAACTTGAACCGAGGATCCATTTTTGAACCGAGTATTTTCTGGAAAAAAAAAGAAGAAACAACCAGTCATGTATGGAATTTGTATCCATGAGTTCAAGACCACGACATCCGCAGAGAACATGTCTGTACCTGTGAGAACTGCTTGTCTAGAGTCTTCTTCCTCCCATTGTAGATATAAATGACGCCTCTTCCTTTGTCGTCTAAAGGCGCTCCGACGACGACGTCATTGTAACCGTCAAGGTCCAGGTCGGGTATTGCCGACATGGCCATCCCGAAACGGGCGTTCTCAGTCGGAGGGGAGCCTTTGAGGAATCCTTGCTCATTCAGGATACCCTTCAGAGGGGAAAATGAGTCAAAAAAGTTCTTGATGTGGACTCGTCAGACCACAGAACCGTCTAAAGGCGCTCCGACGACAACGTCATTGTAACCGTCAAGGTCCAGGTCGGGTATTGCCGACATGGCCATCCCGAAACGGGCGTTCTCAGTCGGAGGGGAGCCTTTGAGGAATCCTTGCTCATTCAGGATACCCTTCAGATCGGAACATAGAGAATAACACGGATCTTTGGGTGGCTGATTAATTTTGATGTTTGGCTGATCAGGTAAGCGCCCTTTCACTTCACGGCGAGGTCATATCGGTACGTCTTACTTTCAAAAGGTGTTGACTTAAAGGGGAAAATGAGTCAAAAAAGTTCTTTGGACTATTAAGTTTGATGTGGACTCGTCAGACCACAGAACATTTTTCCACATGGGATCGATCCATCTCAGATGAGCTCAGGCCCAGAGAAGCCAGCGGCATTTTTGGATGTTGACGTTATATATGACTTTTGCTATGCATGGGAGTATTTTAAATTACATCTGTTGATTAAGCAACAAACTGTTTTAACGGACAATGGTTATCTGAAGCGTTCCTGAACACAATATCTTGTCTTTGTCGTGCATCCAATTGAATGTAACTTCAAAAGGATTTGCAAATCATTAGATCCTGTTTTTACGTACATTTTAAACAATGTCCCCAATTCAGTGGAATTGAGTTTGTCAATTATATTTATCCTGCTCATCTAAAACCAGGTTACATTTTTATACATATTTTTTTTTCACAATTCTATTAGCTGGTCAGTGCACATGTGTAGGTGTTATTTTTCAAAACGACTGACCAATCTAAAGTTTTGTAAATACTGAAAATAAATATTAACGGTTGAACAAACCATTTTGAGGTCCCCTCAAAAGTGATGATTGTGGAGGTACAGTACAAGGATTCCGTCCAAAGCCAGCCAAATAGATTATGATGTATACATAATATAATAATATTTACAGTAGTTTCATTTTATTTGTATTAAATAATTGGTTATGATTTATTGTAAAAAAAATAATATCAGTTAAAAAAAAAACAAAAAAACGTATTTGAAACTCACATAATTTTACGGACATTTTAACTTTTTTTTTTAAATCTTACCCGCATCTAAAACCAGGTTACATTTCTATTTTTTTAAAACTATTTTTACATATATTTTTTCCACAATTCTATTAGCAGGTCAGTCCACATGTGTAGGTGTTATTTTTCGAAATGACTGACCAATCTAAAGTGTTGTAAATGGTTGCTTCCCTTGGATGATGCAATGTTAACGGTTGAACAAACCATGTTGGGGTCCCCTCAAAAGTGATGATTGTGGAGGTACAAGGATTCCGTCCAAGGGCCAGCCAAATATATATTATGATGTATATATAATATAATACCGTAATATACAGTAGTTTCATTTTATTTGTATTAAATAATTAGTTATTATTTATTGTAAAAAAAAAAAAGGATATGAAACTCGGAATTTTATGGACATTTTAACATCAAAACTTTTTTTTTTAAATCTTACCCGATCTACAAATAACCTGGTCCATTTGTTCATTTAAAAATCAAATTAGGATGCAAAAGTTAGTATAATATAATACCGTAATATACAGTAGTTTCATTTTATTTGTATTAAATAATTAGTTATTATTTATTGTAAAAAAAAAAAAGGATATGAAACTCGGAATTTTATGGACATTTTAACATCAAAACTTTTTTTTTTAAATCTTACCTAATCTACAAATAACCTGGTCCATTTGTTCATTTAAAAAAAAATCTAAGTAGGATGCAAAAGTTACCTCCAACAGCCCTTGAACAGGGTCAACATAATTGAGTAGCAAATGGATAAATGGCTGATCATTATTACCCTGGTGACGGTGAAGAGGTAAACACGGCCTTGCTCTCTCTTCTGTTCGCTCATAAACATGGGCGCGCCAACCAGCAGCAGGTCCGTCACCCCGTCTTTGTCCACATCCAGCGAACACAGGACGCCACCAAAATAAGCTCCAATCTAGAATGCAAAAAACAAAAAAAAAAAAAGCCGCTCACTGACATTTGACTTCAAATCGATCCGCATCATTGTGCGGAATCTGGTTGGGTGTCCTACCTGCTTTCCTCTTTCCGAATCGATGATAGTGAATTGCTTCTGGGCGTTGAAGCTGTAGACGATTACTTGTCCGGAGTGGTTGGAGCGAGGCGCACCGGCCACAAAATATTCTGTCGTGCCATCACTCAGCATGCAGACAGAGTAACCTGCAAAACGGCAGACAAAAAAAAAAAACAACTAAAAAAAAACAAACAAAAAACAAATTAAAGCCATCAAATACTTATGTTGAACGCTTTGAGGGACAGCGGTTACTCCAGTGGACAGCTTCTCACGTTATCGGGTTACAGGGTGCATGAAAGGGTTCATACCCAGTAAGGAGCTGTGGTTTCGATCTCGAAGTGTTCCTTCAAAGACCGAGACAGGGAGAACATCCACTTTTGAGCCCGTTTGGTGGACGACAGTCCCAGCCCAACCATAGGCACCCACTGCTCCCAGCATCAGCATGTCCTTTAATGGCAAATTCACCAAAGAGCTTTCGACGTGCTGGGATGATTGTTGTTTGAATGAAAGTATCGATGTACCTTTTTGCTGGAGTAGTGAGCGCTGAAGCCCACCTGGGACATCTCCATCTTGAAATTGTCACCTCCCTTTCCTGTGCCTTTAGTGAACACAAATAGGAAGGAATGAATGGAAGAGCAGACATGTGGAGACCTGCCTTGGATGAGAATCCCCCGTGATGTGCTGAGGAAAAAAAAAAAAAAACACATAAGAAATAATACGCACCTTCGATGTTGAAGATGCGGCTGCCCAGCGTTCCGGCGATGTTGGACAGAGCCGCTTCTTCCGACACGTTAAAAAAGTAATTTTCCGTGGGCGTGCTGGCGATGGATTTGATTTCTTTGATGAGGTTTTCGGTGTCGATGTTGTTTCTGGTGTAGTAACCCAACACCTAGGGAGGAACGGGAGCAAATAGTTCTGTGTGTGAGCAAGACACAAATTGAAAAGGCTGTTGACTGTCACAAGGGAAAAAAAAAAAAAAAAAAAAAAGACAAAAAATAAAAACAGAAGCTTACACGTATGGAACAAAAGTGAATCACCTCATCCACATATACTGCACTGTAATATTTCATTGCTGTCGAGGGGAACTTTGTATTTCTAAAAATGGTCAATTCCATTTTTTTTTTTTCCTCACAAACTGACACGATGTCCCCTTGTCTTTTATTTTTACGCATTTACCATTTTAAAGTGTCGCACCTGGGCATTTTAGCTGTTCAAGAAGTGTAGAACTCCGCCTTTTGCTCTCTCCGAAGGAGCTGTGCAGCATTATGTCACCTCAACATTGAAAGTCAAGATGTTTTTTGAGACCATAGCGAGGAAATCAAGTTTGGTTAGATTCATCTGAGTCGAGCCGTTTTGTTAAAAAAAAAAAAAGATTGCTATAATGCTTCGGTGCAGAAGGAACTAGTAAGCCACAAGGATACATTTGCATGTAGATTACCAGTGATGCCATTAACATGTTACAAAGTAGCGCATTACTTCTAATTATTCACATTTTTTGGGATCACCTACGGAGCTTAAATAATAATACGTCAAAAACAGATCACGGGTAGTGTGCGTTCAAATTCACACCAGATTTTGTGACTGTGTGAGGTCCCTAAATGAAATGGTTCTTTTATCAACAATTTATATTACAAATGCTGAGTTTTGCCATTAAAATATTAATATTTAAATATGTCAATAAAAAAAAAAAGACCACCTTTATTTTAGAAATTATTTCAATGAAAATAAGTTACTGGTTATGTCTGTTAGTTGTTTTTAGATTTTAAACACACACAAGCACACAAAAAAAAAGAAAACATGAACATATATCTTAAGTTTTAGACTACATATTGGAATAATCATAATGTTGGAATCTTGGAATAAATATACAAAGCTGAATTAGGGCCCACGGGACTGAATTCGACTTAAATACTGAATGTAATAAGGGGTGTTTATGTGACCTTGAAGTTCGGTAACAAGCGTTAGTCAAGATGCAGGACGTTAGTCTGGTTATACCGTCGGTCGGGTGGAAACATGGCACGGTTGGTCAACACTCACAGCAATACCGAAGCGTGTGATTCCTTGTTTTTCACATTCACTGATGACCGTATCTCTGACGGCTTGGTCATGCGATTCGCCGTCAGTGACGACCACCATCACCTTGGAAGCGCTCGGTCGAGCACCGTAGATCGGATTAAAACCCCACTGGCTTCAAGAGCAAAGACACATACGCGGTAGAAACATTTCACATAGCGCGTATGCGCACAGAAGGGACGTCACGCTGCGAAACACCCACCTGGCGTACTGAATGGCATGGAACGTATTGGTTAAGGAGCCTTGCATTTGTGTGAGTTTGGATGCGGCATTCAGCAACTCCTCTTTGGTTCGGTACTGGTTCAGCGTGAATTCAATCTTGGGATCGACGGCATACTGAATGACGCTGACCTGGCCGCACAGCGGGATGAGATGATGATTGACAGCTGATCATTTTATCAGGTTACGGGGTGCGTGAAAGGGTTAAACTGAGGAGGAAGGAATCTATCGAGCGCAACACAGTAACTGTAGCAATGGCGTGTACGACGGGAGGGTATAAGACGGCGGGCGTCACCTGAGTGTTTTGGGGTCCGATTTCAAGAGACGGTAAGAGTTTCTCAATGAACTCCCTCATTGGAGCCCAGGGGTAGATGCTGTTGGAGCCGTCCAGTACGATGACAATGTCCATCGGGCCTCCACAAGCTGGAGAGAAGGCGGACAAAAATTCTAAAGCAAGCAGCCTCGCGCAACTGAGATCGATGATGATTAGACGCTATTCATATGCGGTATCACAAGTGGAGTTGTATGGTTGATCAAATTTTTTTAGGGGCTCTCACTCTGGATGGCAGGAGCGAAGGCAGGTTGAGGCTGAAAGAGCGGGCTCAGTTTTGAGCAGATTCCAGGGTAGAAGTTTTGATCGCCACACTTCTGTGCCCAAAGGGGACCGCACGTCTACATGGCAAGACAAGATGGGAAGACAAGTTGAACATATCTGGAAAGTTCTGACAACATACTGTAACTTGTTGTTGAGCTGTAAGAAGCAAGTATGAGACGAGTCAGATAAATATGCTTCCCGTCCCATTACGGACGGCGTCCAAGTTATTTTACAACTTATTACATACAGTCAGGTTTTCTTACGTTCACTCCATTTACTAACAGGCAACTAGGTTTCTGCCGTTTAAATCGTCAAAGTATTTGCCACGGCATCTCGCTGGGCTTTGTGCCAGGCAAAGAAAACCCAAGAAAAAATATACACTTAAAAAAAAAAAAAAAAAAGTCAACAATCTGCGGGTACCGAACCTGAAGTATGCGGTGGTCCATTGTACGGTTTACATACACTACGGTTCAAAACTTTAAGGATCATATAGAAATGCGTTTCTTTTTGAAAGAGGACCAAACTCTGTTACCATCTAAACAATATCTAGACTTTAAACTGTCTTTAATTTATTTCATTTATCTTCATTGAAAATAAACTGTTTTCATGGAAAATGTGATGAAAATAGGTTACATCATACACAAATTAATTAAACATTCAGTATGGAAGTATAACCCGAACACTAATTTCTGTGTGCTGTGAATCTAGGTGAGTTTTTGAAGTGAACCACTAAACTAAATGAATTCCGCTGCACCTATGAGGGGAAAAATGTAGGAGACTCGACTGTCTCAGAATTGTTTATGTTATTTATTCCTTTGTTGTGTGTTCACAACAACCGACCGAATTTATTTTGTGATTTCCTAGCTTGATTTTCTGTTCTGGTGGATTATTTTCAATTTTCTTCGTGTCATTGAAGTTATCGTTAATTTACGGTTTTCGGAGGCGGTCCTTGAACGCCTCTCGAGTCGAACGACAGAAGAGAAGGCGCGGAGACGGAGAAGGACGTGCCTGTATTTGTTGAGACTGTGAAAAGCATTAATAAAGTATACGTTTTCAAAAGCAACACCACAGCTCTCCTTTTTTGGAGCTGCAACAAAAATGAAAATTATATTTTTGTCAACACTAAGAACCAAACGCTACAGTAAATATTGTTACCACTATACACTGTTGCTTGCTCATAAAGGGCCCAACTATCTCACGCAAAGGGCAAGCTATTTTTCCCCCATCACATCCTCCTCTCACCCACTTCCCTCTGTGGTGTCCAGAAGATAATCAGACACCAAAAACATTTTTTCTTTTAATCAACCAAGTTCAGTCTCCTTCCTGTCCCTCTTTTTGCTTCCGCACTCCCAACACACCATTACTACTTCTTTTGTAAATGTACCTCCTTAATAATATTGCGAAGCGATAGACAGACAAGACGGATGCGTACCATCAGACCGTTGACTGCGGGCATGCGAGTCAGGGTCATGCCCAGAGACATGTTGACGTTGACGTTGGTCACGTCGGGAATATTCATGGAATCTGTGGGGATATTTGCAAAGCGGCTTTTAGGATGAAGTGCGTTTTTATTCGGTAGCAATGGTTCCGAGCAGCAAGAGGTGAGGCTCAAAGGTGGAAAGCCAAAAGCCACGCCTCACCTTCAAGGTTGAGCTTGTTGCAGCTTGTTCTGGACCCTGACACCGGACACTTGTACAAATCCCCCTTCCTGTTTTGAGTATAACCACTCCAAGGAGCACCAACCAGAAGCCTATACAGACAACAATATTTAGATCGTTCTTGCTTGACGCGGTGTTTTGGGCAGATGGATTTACTTTGCTTACTTCGTCCAAAAAAAGTGGAGTAAAGTGCATTTGTGTCAGCTTTCTCAGACGCTAAACACTCAAAGCTCGGTTAAAGCAAACAGGACACTCCTCCAGATGATGAATCAGTGTGTGCTGAGGACTAATCTTCCACTTACTGGACTAAATAAATCCTCAACATTCCCAAGTACATAACATATTTAGGAACGTCTGAAAGCATGAGGAAGTCATGACGTCTGAAGGAAAACCTGTGAATGAATTGTTACCATTTGCCCTCATGGTTGGCGGCCTGTTGGACCGTGTAGCCAAACTCTTCGACCGGCGGCCCGCTGAAAATCTTAGCCCCCGCAGTGCCCACGTTGAAAGAGTGCGAGAGGCCGATTCTGTCAGCTGCTGAAAGTCGCACATGAATAAACAAGTAATTCATCATCGTAATATTAACTTTTTCATGCACAAATAATGATCATCTGAAACCTCGGCCTTGTGATACTTTTACTGGCTAAATGGTAGGCATACTCAAGTGGTGCTTAACGCACTGTGTTGTTTTTGTCTCATGAACGGATTGAAATTGAAATTTGCTTTTCATCTGATTCATCAATTGATCCCCAAAAAATACTGACAAAATAACTAGTTTCAGCCCTAGCTGGTACCATCAACCGAGAATAGCAGTGAGCATGTCCGCCTCACAGCGTTGTGATTTTGGGTTCGAAACTGGGTCCCGGTCATAGATTTTGTCCGGGTATTCTGACTTTCTCCCACATTTCAAAAACGTATGTCAGTGGTGACCAACATGCGTCCCGCGGGCACCAGGTAGCCCCCTAGGAGCACATGAATAGCCTGCGGTACTCTCCTAAAAGTAGTTCAGCATTGATGAAACATTGTGATTTTCTCGGAATGTTGTCAAAGTGATCGTAAACATGTATAGGGATAAAGTACTGTACAGTATATTGATATTTTCCCTTTTCTTCATTACTGTGCAAGATTCTTAACGTGACCAGAATCTTTGCATATCATACCGTATGGGTCAGAATGGACCACTACCTCATAAGATAATTAATGATCTGAGGTGATTTAGCATGTCTGAGTAGTTCACCACATGGTTTATATTCTATTCATAGTGTACAAACAGAGGAGGCGCTTGTATATGACTTCTCAACGTCGCTTCATGACTTGGGCTGAATCATTAAACTGAAGTTTTGTCTGTCTGTGCGCTCTCTCTGAATATCAATAATTATGAATAACATTATTGGTCATTTGAGTACATTTTATGTCATCATTATTATAACAGAAACTGGTAGCAATTCGCATTAATCGGTGCCAATGAAGCAACTCTCTACAGAAAATGAATCGAAGAATATATACTGCGAATGATTTAATGAAAATCCTCTTAAATTGAGATGTAAAAAAATGTCCCAGCCTCAAATAAAGGAGTTCTTTGGGGGCTTAATCACAAGCAGTCAGCTTTGACTCATGGTGGCAAAAAGCTTGGCAACAAAAGTGAGGTCCTACTGCATATTGCGTTTTCACATAGCAGCGAAATTGCACATCTCGCAGCGAAGTGCATTAATGTGAACTTGCCCCCTGAGGACAGGGAATCTATAACAGCCAAACAGGTCCACACAGGCACAATAGTTGAAGAATGTGAACGTTCACCAGCACAACCACGCCCGTTTTACCCCCGACAGCCAACTTTTTAAAAATCACATTTTATTTGCTACACAGCGGATACACAAATGCTATTTCTACTATTTCTTAGCGCTGACGCAGAATCGGAATGCGATTCGTTATAATTGCTAATGACTCGTCTTTCTGCTGCAGCCCAATTATGGGGGGGGAAAAAACAGTAACGAGGGAATTCTGAAAGAGAGACTTCAGAGCGTGCGGCATGACAGTAAAGACAAGTTCAATGTTCAATACTCACTCATGACAATCAACGCAAAGCAGACGACGAGGCACTCCATGGTCAACTTTTATTCCATGTGACTGAAGAGCTTTAACGAAGTCGGAGCAGAGACTCGGCTCAGCGATCTTGAACCAGGCACTGACTGACGCACGTTTCGAAAGCAAGGATTTGCGCTTCTTCTTCCTGGCTGTCCGTGTGCGTACGTTTGTGTCTGTGGTAATTTTGACTCAGCTGTGAGCGCGCCCCCTGACACCTGGACGTGGGGGGGGGGAAAAGGAAGCAAGTTAGGAAAAAAAACTACAACTAAATTTTATGCATGATATAACTATAGCCAACTGTAAATGTTTTTTGCCTACAAAAAATAATATTTGGCATAAAGACCCCCCCCCAAAAAAAATATACCGCCCCCCGAATATTTGGTTGACAGTACATATTGTCGGTGTTATTTAGCAAAGACAAAACACCTTTGAGGCCAGCGTAACGACGAGTCTTGAACGAAAACAGGCCAAGGACTTCTTTGTCTTTTCTATTTATGAAAGAACAAAATTATACAAAAAATGGGTCTCTTTGTTTGTTTGGTCAAAAAACTATTGCTTCTGGTTTGAGCTTGACCTCATCTACCTCTCATGTCCGGCTCACTCCTCCTCCTCCACGTTGTTGCCAGTCAGGTGACGTCATAACAAATAGTTCCATCAAAGAAATATTCGTACGTACTACAGTGTATTTTAAGCAAATGGAATCTAAAATGTGCGTAAAATTATAATGACAATTACTTCAACTCGGTTATGAAATATGCCAATTCAACGTATGAAGACTGCACGGCAAATGCAACACGCCACAAAAATCTATAAAAGTCAATTAGAATATTTCAATTGGAAGATGGCAACTCTCTCAGTGGCTACTTGTATTGCATAATCATGTTTGCGAGCGTCAGATTTTGCACATCGAATGCATCATCCAAGGAAGAATTTTCAGAGTTACTGCATTTCCTTCTGTCGTATTCTGGATGTAGCAACCCTGATGACATCATCAAAACGAGGACATTATGGGAGTTTTAACAATAAAGTCTTTTGTGATGGACTGAGCGTGTGGAATTTGAAAAATGTGGGCTCTTAAAGGAAAATTAGTTGCTTGTTGATAGGTACGTTTGAACTTGACTGAGCAAAAATGAGATGACTTCATTTGGAAAGGGAGTAAAAAGACAGCAATATGCATTAATTTTTGGATCACCAATTATGTTTTTTTTTGTGTGCAAGAGGATATAGCGTGTCAAGTTAGTCAGCAGCCTGTCTCAGACAAGTGTCGGGGGAGGCAGAGAGAGCGCACAGACAAACAAAACTTCAGTTAATGATTCAGCCCAAGTCATGAAGCGACGTTGAGAAGTCATATACAAGCGCCTCCTCTGTTTGTACACTATGAATGGAGTATAAACCATGTGGTGAACTACTCAGACATGCTAAGTCACCTCAGATCATTTATTATCTTATGAGGTATAGTGGTCCATTCCGACCCATACGGTCCACTGCACAACACTGACTCTCAAGATCAGTGTCTGATCATTCCTGGATCTGAAAGGTACAAGTCGTCAATCCCAAGATGTCAAAGTCAAGGGGACAAAAAAAAAAAGACACAATCTGTGACAAGCCATTGGTCACGGGGTTGTTGCGCTGTCAAAGCAAGGACACTGAACACGGTTTGTCCAAAAATATCCGATCCCGCGCGAGGCCAATTTCATTCATACGTCCATTTTCCATCACACTTGTCCCCATTCGGGTCAGCCGTGAGTCAAAGCCTATCCCAGCTGACTTTGAATGAGATACAGGGTAGAAATCTACCCCACAGCGACAGCTGAGCCAGCTATGTGAATCACTACACTACTAATCAACAAACCAAATAGCTGTGGTGACACTAAAGTCACAAATTCGCCATTCGTTTGGTCCCCCTTTTCACCCCTCTTGCTACAACTTCCTGAAAACAAAATGCTTGAGTCAGCGCCTTTCTCATAAATCAACATCCAAAGTTCTTTTCCTCAATAAGGAGTGACGTCAACCAAGTTGGGAAACTTCATCCAGTTGATTGTCCAACTCAGACATACAATAGCGTTGCGGCCGTGTGTAATGAACACTGGCTCTGTTGCAACTTCCTCAGGAAGAGGAGTATTTGTTTGTCCATCCATAGTTTCCTATGAATGTCGGGGGTTTTCTTAGTGGATACACAGGGTTGTAAAAATGGAACAATAGCTGTCGTGATCACAGTTAAGAGCAATTTATGTTGTTGACTCGTGTTTGGTGACACAAATTTTTGCTACATGGGTCCGACGTAACGCAACAATGTAGACAAGACATTAAAAATCCCCACTGATTCATCAGTCTAGCTCCTTATCAACAGACTTTGTCCCCATGTTGGTTGTGGGACTGTTTCAGTCAGCTCAAATGGTATTTGTCACTTAAGCTCATATACCGTTAAATAAGTTGGACATTAAGACGCCAATGTTGTCTCAAACAGAAGAATGACTGCATTCCAATAAAAGAGTCACTAGCAATTCTTTTTTTTCCTCCTAAAAGGACTTTTATTCCATTTAATGTAAAATTTGTTGTTTTTAGCCATAGAGCGCCTGTATTTTTTATTTTGGATGAGCCAGTGGATATTTTGCCATTCATTCAAGAGTTTTAAAGCCACAATTTACAAAACACACTCACACAATAGGAATCCTGGGTGAATGGATTGCAATGCTGAGCTAATCCCTCTTTTGCACTCATGTGCTGACCTCTTTAATCTCTTTTTGTGGACCCACAAAAGCGCATGCTCAGAGGGTCTTATGACTCAGAGACTGCACATTAAGGATGACAACATGTGGGGGACAGAATATTATTTGACATGCATAGAAGGGGCTGTTAGGGACATAATATATATATATATACATATATATATATATATATATATATATATAATTTTTTTTTATTAATGAATGGTTCGGTGAACGTGCATATGAACTGGTTGGGTTCTGTACCTCTAACAAGGTTAAGAACCACTGATATATATATTTATATATTTTCTTACAAGCAACTGAAAGTTTTTAGAAATATTGCACAGAACGTTTGGTCAACATTTGAGGATTTTGTCACGAAGAAAATTTGGCAAACTGTACATCGACGACTGTTGTTTAAAGTCGCTTAGTCAATCAGGATGCAGAACACAATGCACTGTTTATTTTTTTTTTAACTAAAAAGAGCGAAAATGTGAAAGACGAACCGTGTTATAGCGAGGGATTACTGCACACCAATGTGCAGAACCCAGTTTGATTTACCTCTACGGTGCTAATGCTTTACCTTAAATTGCCAATAGAGGGCGCGCTGACACCATTTTCAAGTGATTGGCCGCATCCTTTCAACGCGCAGTACTCATCTGAAAGAGGCAGAACATCTATGCTGTTTTAATTTTCAGTTAAACAATGCGGCAATAATTGTACAGCACAAATCGGAAACCATACAGATTGTGTTATGCAATTTAAATATGACGAGACACGCACAACAGTTATACTGCTAACTGCAATTTCCACCAACATTCAGTTCAAAACAAAATCACCAATCCTGCAGTTTTTCCATCTTTGCAAGTGTTTGGAAGACTGTGAGGGTGACCTTTAGCTTCAGCGCATTGAACCTCGTTCACGAAGACTATTTGGAGTTCAGAGATGGCAACAAAGAATGTGACAAACTGTTTTTACAGGAAAATGGTTGTCTATTGTTACAGAATAAAATTTCAAATGGTGTCAGTAAGAGAGCAGAGCCGATAAAGGTCAATAATCTTGAATTACTGTATGAGAAAGTGGTTACTAGTTCTAAATATACATTGACCTTAATAACCTACTTAAAATGAACAAACATAAAATGTCACATTATAAAGGTTTTATTGCAGGCAAACAATACTATAAATAATATGAGCACACTGTATATATAAAACAACATTCTTTTATACAGCCTCTGTAGATTGCCAATAAACAGTCTGAGTCTCATGACAACGAACGTTTGATGCAGTGGAAGTGATCCACTGACTGATGCCTACATTCAGAATTTTTTTTTTTTTTAAACATACTCTCGGACTTATACTCACCTACTTGTAGATGTTTGACATTTGAACAAAATGTGAACACTTCTGAGAAAAAGAAACGTCACGGCAAACTATGTTCCTCTTGGTGGTTATTTGGAGCATCAACTATTTTCAAAAAAGGCTAAAATATACTGCAGGAAAAACGAAACAAACAATCAAAGTGTCCAGGAACGAAGAAAATATTAATACCTCAACTTTTGCTGTTGTTGTTGTTGTTAATAAACCATTTAATCGATTGTCTGCCTTTTCTATTCTACACTGACCAGAAGCCAAGGATCAGATGTGCATCTATAAACAGCTTTGTTACAACGCTTTTTGTTGACAGTCAAATAATATTTGGAGGCTATGACACAGTAGCTTGTTTTGCTTCACAACATTTGGGCAAAGTACTTGAGGTGCCCGCCAGTGTCATTGCTGTCGTTTCCTCTCCGACTCCAAACAGAAATTCTCAAAGGCTTCTTCGATCTCGGGATCCATTTCGTCGTCAAAGTCGTCTCTGTGAAGATGGCAGGGAGACATTTTGTTTTTCTCTAAATTGTGAAGGGACACATGTAGCCTTGTTGTGAATAGGGTTAAAGAAATGGAACATGCAGGCACTCAGGAGTGATCTTGGACTTTTTTTTTTTCTTTGCACCGTATTGCTAAACTGAATCAGAGGCCCATGCTATTTTCAAGGTTACGAACGGCATGCAACAAGGCCGTTTAACAACTGCGCTTAGCACGCTATGCCTTTGACCAATGTGCTGCCACGCCGCAAGTGCGCACCAGTGTTCCGCCGAGGTTGGTGCCACGTCGGGTGGGCTCAAGCCTTCACTGTGACGACATCTCGGCACATCCAATGGGAGAGATCGTGGCGGAGTGATTACAGAATGAACAACGGCGAAGAGATCATGATGCTGAAGTTCGATTGTGAAAATGAGCATTGAAAAGAAAACGGCGGAATCAGTAATGACCATCGTTTCTTGAGAATAACACGCACTCAAATATTAGAGGCTCCACCAAAATCGCTCTTCAAAAGATGATTTTCCTTTGGACACAACTATTGTGTACTCACACAATAAAAGTAAAACATGAGAATAAATTATGTTTAAAAGAAACTATTTTACAAACTATTTTGAGTTGCTTTTTCCCCCTTTTACTTCATTTGTGAATAAAATGGCTCACTTATTCATGTACAAATTAAACTAAGCCCTTAAGCACCAACGTTTGCCCACGCGTGGTCTATTCAATTCCACTATTTGCCACAAACGGAATTCAAGAGATGACAGTGTGGATACAAGAAAAAAACAAATGGGATAGGACGACTTACTCATCATTTTCAATTTCATTTTCCCCAGCGAAATCGTGGAAATAGTCTTGTCTTTCCATCAGCTCCTGGTATTTCTCAGCATATTCTGTGAAAGCAAAAACGACCTCGCTTAGAAGAAAAGCTTTCCTCAGAAGACTTGTCGTCTACTTGAACAGAGGAAACACAGTGAG